AGTTCTCCTTTGACTTTATTGCTATCACACAGGAGCTCACAAGCCCCTCTCTTTATTGAACCTGTCACCTCCAATACAGGAGTTCTAGCACAGAGCTCTCCCCTGTCACTGTTTACATGGAGCAGAAGAGAGAATGGATGATCTCCGCTCTGCTTCCCGCTCTTCATCGCCGAGATCACTTGTAAACGAACGAGCGGCTTCCCCTCTGTACATTTAGCTCTGCTTGCCCAAAGCAGAGCTAAATGTAGAAAAAGACTACCTGCCCGGTGCCCAGAACTTCATGTCCCAGGTGTCAGGCGATAGGAATTCTTGTCGCCCCTCAGCTCCCTTCCGCCCCGAGGCCAGGCCTCGGTTGGCCTTGTTGTAAGTTCGGCCCTGCATGCAGGTCTCACCAGGTCTGTGTTTGGGTCTCACCAGGACTGCATGTGGGGCTCTCCAGGGCTGTACTGACAGTTGCTGGGCTTTCCAGGGCTGCGTTTGCATCTCACCAAGGCTCAGGGGCGTCCTGGGGCGCCCCTATATATATTTCTGCTTGAAAATAGCCTCAATAGCCTCAATATTAGCTATGAGTCAAACTGCAAGGACTTAAACTGCTTGTTTTTGACATTCCTGTATTTTACAACATCATAAATGTCAAATCCAACTAAACAAAATTAAGTACGACCAGCTCATCTGTTTTTTCACATACGTGGTGATTCATGCGCGTAATTTTAAGTAATTCCTAGAGTAATTACCTCCTCAGATGATAAACATGAAAAATATGAGCACTGCTTCTTTTTTCAATCCAGTGTTCACTACTCTGCTGGCAAATATAGTATATACACACACACTCAGCACTTGTTCACACTAGCTGCGTGGTAAAATGCTGGGTTTTACCATGCAGTTTTGTCCAATGAGTGGCAGTGGTGAGCCATGGTGACAACACAAGGCATTGTTAACATTTTTCCTCTTAAAGTGACATTAAACCCTCAGATTTTGTAACATAAACCAATACTGTAATGTGTGCTTACCGTAATCCATGGTAGTTTCCCTTCTCTTTGCTGCTCTTCCTTTTAAATCTGTATCTCTTTTCATGCTTGGGGAGAACTTCCCTTTGCAGCTGACTGCCTCTATGTGGGGCACATATGAAACAACTGTTTTCTGCTGCAAGGGTTACCTGCTCATTTTTGTCTACAGGATCTACATAAAGGGCATTTACTTACTCGGCCTCCCAGACTGACATCTGTAGTCTCTTCCAGACTAAGCTCCAGCAGTTAGAAGCCCACTGACGTCATCATGTCTATGTGGGGACACTGAGGGATGTGAGCACACGGTAGGAGAAAGAGGTGAGCACCCCCTCACTGCAAGGGTTAAATGCTCATTTTTGTCTACAAGACCTCCTATAAAGGTCATTTACTTACCCGATCCTCACTCCCCCAGCCTCCAAGACTGGCACCCGTGGGTCTCTTCCAGGCTAAGCTCCAGCAGTTGAAAGCCCACTGATGTCATCATGTCTATGAGGAGACACCAAGGGACAAACCACGAGCTGGAGCATACGGTAGGTGAAAAAGGTGAGGGCCCCCTCACTGCAAAGGGTTAAGTGGCTTTTTATGCCTAGGGACAGGAATAAGCTGTTTTACTTACCTGCTCCCATCGGGCTACTAGACATGTCCCCGCTGCCTCTTCTCCCCTTCACTATGGTGGTCTTAGAACTGCTGAAGTAAATCACATCTAATTCATAAACCTGCATTAGACATGAAGACACCAGGAGACAGTCCACCCGCTGAAGCGTAAGGGAGTGATGTGAGCTCAACATAGAGCCCCTAGAGCAGACGAAGCACATTCGTTCTTCGTCTGCTCTGTGTGATCACTGAGACGGTGGCGTTGTAATCACAGCGCCACCTGTCTGAGCAGTCACTTACTGCAGCTTCTGTCACAGAAACGGCCTGCGTCCTATGTACCGGTGCGCCTTATAGATACGTAAAATACGTAAGTCCTCTCGACCAGGGGTAGCCAAACTTTGGCCCTCCAGCTGTTGTGGAACTACAAGTCCTATAAGGCATTGCAAGACACTGACAGCCACAGGCATGGCTCCCAGAGACAGAGGCATAATGGAATTTCTGTCCTCTCATGTCCATGCCCTGCTACAGGGCCCAGTCACACCATTAAGAGTGCGTTCCAGTGTGTCCGGCCTCTGAAACGCAACCCAGCCGGCTCACTTTGTTTTGGGGCGGGAGAGGGGGGGTGGGGGTGCATTTAGGTCAATGGCACCGCAGCCACGCCCCCTGCCCGCAGTGCGATCACCGGCACCCGAACGCGTGGCACATTAGTGCCTGGGTTCTGGTCCAGTGCAATCTGCAAAAATAGTGCATGCAGCATTTTTTGCAGATCACATTGGCTTCAATGCACTGCCACCCCCCCACCCTCTCCCGCCCCAAAACAAAGTGAGCCAGCCAATTTGCGTTCCACAGGCCGAACGCACTGGAACACACTCTTTATGGTGTGACTGGGCCCTTACCCTTTGCATTGGTCCATTAGATAGGACGTTCTATCGCCTTTATTTCAGGAATTTGAGTAAACTTCTGCAATTTATTTCCTGTAATAAATGTCCTCTGTAACCTATACAATGGCAGCTACATACCAGAGAGCATTCTACGATATAATCCCTCAAATCACAAAGCAACATAAGAGGTTAATCACCGGTGACAGGCCAGGCTGCGTGCCAAGAGCTTCGGCACAGGTTCCTCTGCATCACAAACAATCTGCTTTTCTAGTACGGTGTGCTAGACAGATGCGTGACTCTAATACCTGACACTGTAATTAGGACTCTGTCAACACAAAAAAAAACTATGAACAGGCGTTTCAGTATCTATGGATACAAATGCCTTGGGACAGGTTCCCATCTAGACGGCGAACAACCTGAGCAACTGTGTCACAATCATGCTGTGCTAGAGGACGAGAGCAGGCCCAATGTCTTCCTTTCCTCAGCAGATAGAGAATCTATCAAAAGCCGTACTGCCAGGACAGATTAAAAGCCAACAGGGAGAACAGGGACTGGTGAGTGACTTTGCTGCTCTTCTATTCTTCTTCTTAATGGCCTTCCAACCTCCTGGAATGGCCCATTTCTCATTGTACAAGCTGCTCCTTGAGCTGGGCAATAACACAACAATGGGTTTCATCAAAGATTCTATATGAGCAAAATTATGAGTTTTCTTTTGGGATATTCAATTTATATCTTTATATACAAGTTTAATTGATGTACACCGATTTGCCAGAACATGACCACCCACCTAATATTGAGTAGGTCCCCCTTATGCCACAAAACCAGCCCTGACCCGTGGAGGCATGGACATCACTAGACCTCTGAAGATATAAAAGTAATTTGTTCTACAGTAGCTGTTCTATTGGATCAGACTATACGGGCCAGCCTTCACTCCCCATGTGCATCAATCAACCTTGGCTGCCCATGACCCTGTTGCCAGTTCACGGGTTTTCCTTCCTTGGACCACTTTTGGTCGGTCCTGATCACTGCAGACTGGGAACATCCCACAAGAGCTGCAGTTGTAGGGCAGGTCCACACCATTTTCCAGATCTGGAAAGCAGTGCATTGCGTTTTGCCGCATTCCGAAAGCTGTTTTGTTTTTTTTAGCTTAAAATGGGCTTTCAGGTGCATTTGTATGTGTTTTGATGTGTTTCAATGTGTTCCAGTGCATTTTAGACCAGACAAAATGAGACATGCAGTATTTTTCTGGTCTGGTCTGGAACGGACTGCACTGGTGTGAACAGAGGCCATACATAACATAGGGATACATTAGGATGCATTTTGGGTCCGGAAACAATCTGGTCTGGTCTGGAGATGATCTGGATGTGGTGTGAATGGGCCCTCCATGGGCATGGACAAGTTTTTTGCATGCTGGCTGGTGAGTGTGCTGGGAAACCTTTTGCTGTTGCATTGTAATATACCCCACCCTTTTTATAGACCCCCCCCCCCACCCACTTCCAGGTCCCATTGTAATATATCCCCCCCACTTCCAGGTGCCATTGTAATATATCCCCCCCACTTCCAGGTGCCATTGTAATATATCCCCCCCACTTCCAGGTGCCATTGTAATTAGATAATCAGTGCTATTCACTTCACCTCTGAGTGGTCATAATGTTGTGGCTGATCGGTGTATATAAAATGATAGTCTTGACAATGTTGCAATGTTTTAAACCAACGCAGCATAAGATAAGAGACCCTGTTGGCGATGAGTGAAAGTGAGAGTTCTCGTTTCCCTTGAATTTCCGCAACGATCTGGAGATTTTGGCAAAGTTTAACTACATTGGTGAAAGGAAGAGTGAAATTAGGGGCAATTTTCGTAACCTGGTCCTTTAATTAACTACACCTCCTCCTCCCCCCTCTTCCCTAGTGCAGGCCGACATGTTAAAAATAAAGTCTGGGCAAACAAAAAACTTATCCTTAAGCATTTTGTTTGTCTATGGGACTCAAATAAAGCAGATATACTCACCTGATCTTCTGTCTGGCTCCCTCCAGGCTGCTAGACCGGTCCCTATGGCCTCTTCCCCCTTAGCAATTCTAAGGACCGCGAATGTTATCACGTCTAATGCAGGTCCATTGACTTGCATTAGACATAAAGAAGCCAAGGGACATTCCGTAGCTGGAGGTGAGCACTGACCACCATGGAACTGAGAATCAGGTGAGTAATGCAGCTTTATTTTGAGCCCCCCAGACAAAATGAGCACTTAACCCTTGCAGTGCAGGAGAAGCCCCAATGCAAGGGTAAGTTTTTTTAATTCCATAGTACTTCCTTAAATGTTTACCTTCCTCCCCATTCCAGCAATCATCACATCGGCCATGCCTGGAGCCGAGCAGCCTTAACACTAAAGGTTTCCTCACCATCTAATGTTCTTAGCTTGCAGCCCCATTCATTCCTTTATAACAGCTCACCCATATGAATGAATAGGCTGATGGTGGGAGACTTTTGCTGGAAATGTTGTGCAATACTGAGTAAGGTTGCACAATGAAGATCGAAGGAATGGTGAGGAAGATAAGTACTTAATATAAGTGAAATGCAAATTACACTGCGCTCAAGTGAATGATCTATATAAAATGTGATACAAATCTGAAAAATTTTGTCTATGATGTAGTTTTCTCAGAAACCACTACACTCAAATGTTCCGTGAGTCTCAGTGCTCCACGTGTATTAACAGAATAAATCCACACTCACCAGATAGCCTTTGTAAACTTTCTTAGGGTATATCCAATTGTTGGTCTGCCTCTCAACAATCCCTGTGAGAGACGTTCAGCAGCACCGCCTTCTCCGGATCTATACAGATATAAACGCCCCACGACTTCTCCACTTCAGGTCTCCTCATAAAGGAAGTCCAGAAAGCGACCCAAAAATAGCTCAAAGGGAATAAATGAGGATATTCATAGTACAGTATGTCGAATAAAAAACTTTATGAAAAGGTTAAAAATACTCACAAGAGTCAAGAAACAAATCGTTGTTTATATGCGATTTGTTTCTTGACTCTTGTGAGTATTTTTCACCTTTTTATAAAGTTTTTTTATTGGATATACTGCACAATGAATGTCCTCATTTGAGCTATTTGTCCCCTTTGAGCTATTTTTGGGTCGCTTTCTGAACCTCCTTTATGAAGAGACCTGAAGTGGAGAAGTCGTGGGGCTTTAATATCTGTATAGATCCGGAGAAGGTGGTGCTGCTGAACGTCTCTCACAGGGATTGTTGAGAGGCAGACCAACAATTGGATATACCCTAAGAAAGTTTACAAAGGCTATCTGGTGAGTGCGGATTATTCTGTTAATACACGTGGAGCACTGAGACTCACGGAACATTAGAACTACACATATGGACATATTGACGTTTTGATTATCACTTTTCACTTTATTTTTTAAGGACATTTTACTATGATACTTCATACTTTATAGTTTGTTGTTTTATTTATATTCACATGCAACTTGTGTACATCACGGGCTTATATTTTTTGCTGAGATTTTATTTTTTTTTGCAGATATTTATCACTTTTTTATATCCCACATTTGAAGGTAGTGGTTTCTGAGAAAACTACATCATAGACAAAACTTGTTAGATTTGTATCACATTTTATATAGATCATTAACTCGAGCACAGTGTAATTTGGATTTCATTGAGCTAATTTGTGTGTATTCCATACAAATTGAACACAGCAGCTGGGTGTATCACTATCACCATAGCGCAGGTCCAATTGCACACAAGTACTTAATATACAAAGGTGCGTGGAGGAGGGTTGCGCAATTATGTAAAGCCCATCTCCGGGAAAACTACAAAACAACCCTTGCAGTGGGCTTACCCATGCACTGCAAGGGTTAAGTGATCGTCTATATCTACGGGACCGGAGTAAAGCACTTCAACTTACCTGATCCCCGCTCCCCTGGTGGTCAGCGCTCACCTCTCTCCCCCTCCGCTCTGGCTGGCAGACTGTCTCTCTATGGAACCTGCATTAGACGTGATGACATCAGTGGTCCGTAGACCGCCAGAACAAAGGGAAGAAGAGGCTGCAAGGATGGGTCTAGCAGCTCAGAGGAAGCTGGGGGTTGCAGGGAACAGGTAAAGAAGACATTTTTTTCCTGTCCCCTAGGCATGAGCGAGCAGTTAACCCTTGCAGTGCGGAAGCAGCCTCATTACAAGGGGAGTATTTTGGTTTTAAGGATAGGCTTTAAAGGAAAAGTTCACAAAAATTAAACTTGTTCTTTAAGGTGTAATTAAATTTACCCAAAATCACTCCATTGATCCCATTAAAAGATTGTCAGCTTTTGAGTTTACCTGTACATTTATCTTATTCCCACCTCAACTTTTAGCCAAAAGGTCACTATAGGATGTACAAGTCGGTGATAGGAAACACAGCAGCAGTTGTTATCATGCTATTTGTTGCTGTATTTCCCTAGTATTCACTTCCTCTTGCATGATGGGTGGGCAGCTAAGGTAGCGTCAGGTCTCTTCTGCCCACCTTCCTGAGTTGATAAATCAGTATTGCTGGAGCAGGAATTACTTTTATAGTTTTTGAATTGTTCATGGTAACCTGTATATGGCATGTAGGTGTACATGCTTGAGGATGCAGATAACAATAATAAATGGGTCTGTGGTGTGTTAGTCTTGTTATACATCGCAAAACATAATTCGATTGACAATATAGACTTGTTAAAATTGTAGTTTTGACACTTTAGTATTGTTTTAAAGCAAAATCACATAAGCTGGAAGTTCCGATTTTTTTCTTGCACATTTGTAAAGGTGTTCTGTCACGAACGTCGACCCTGTCAGATTTGCTGACCTCAGCATCTGCGCACAGACCGGGATTAACGAGGAAACAGGCATTTTTTTTTTTGAAGTATTAATTTGTAATTGTTAATTGTGACCGTTCATAATATGCCATCCATGGCAGTAAATGATGGATGGCATTTTATTCACATTCAGAATTAACATCGTAAGTAATTACATTATGGTATCGGGACATCTGTAATCTAAACGCAACAGTACTGTATGCTATGGGCCCATGCACACTGGCTGTTTTTTTGTCAATAGCTACGTAAACCAAAACTAGAAGAATCAGCCACTGCGTTTGTCCGTATTTCTACACTGTACGCATTTAAACATTTGCTCTTATATTTACGTGCATTCAACATGCAGGGACCCTACTGGCCATTGTCGCTGCTCAGAGCCGACATGCAAACATCAACAACATGTAGCCAGATGTAAAGCCAATATTAACGTTCGTGTTTCTCCCTGAATGAGCCATTCATGCAGCGGCAGCCCATGCACAGAATGACCTTGGCCTTCATTCATTCAGAATTGGTTAAGGACATTCTGCACATGCGCCTGCAGCACATGACTTATTCAGGGCTGACCTGTAAACAGTGAGTAATCAGCAGCGGCCCTGCCCACTGATTGCACACTATTGTTTACATCTTGGCCCTGCTACATGGTAAATGACTCATTCAAAGCATTCACTAGGCAGTGGAGAAGGGGCTGTACAAGCTGCCTGTACGCCTTTCACCTATACGGACTGTATGTCTGCATAGTTCCGATGCAGTTGTACATTTTACCAGCACGATCCTGTACAAATCTAGGCCTAGGCAGCAATTTTCCCCTTACATCCTGTTGTGTCTCCAGATAGGAAATGTTGTTGTTTGTAGTATACATGTACCAGCTTCCTTCGGGATTGTTTGTTTTTGCTGTGTTATTTCTATTCTCATTTTCTCTGAATGACTTGACATTATTTACTTTGTATTGCACCTAGTGCAGAGTATTTGTGTATTGTTAAATAACATGCATAATATACGTTACATGCGCATATAATCTTATTGGAAGGTTGCTGTTGAAATGAATGGTCCGTGACAGGTTCTCTTTAAGTCTATTCTTTCTAGGGATGTGATCTGCATTGAACAGTAATGTTATAGTTTTGGTGTCATGTATCTTTTTATGAGAGGTGGAAGGAAAGCGGGATTATAGATCAATGGAATGTCGCTCACAATGTACCCGTGTTGTGGGTTGTCATAGCAATTGAAGCAGCCACAGTGTATGGGAGAGCCATTAACGGCCTAATGACAACAGGGGTGAAAGGTCTTACATGACCCCTACAGGTGAAAAAGTAAATGTTACACATCAGCAGTGCTGATTATACTGCAAAAAACACAGGAAAGCAATGTATCAGGCTAAGGCCTCATTCACACGAGAAATTGGCGGCATGTACAGGTCCGTGCTGCGTGCACGGCCATACCGGGCAGCTCCCGAGAAGGACAGGTGCTGCGTGTGATTAGTACGCAGCCCCTGTCCTTCTCTATGGGAGTACGCGACCGTACTCAACCCTACGCTTACCCACCATGCACGCCTGTGCGGGTGCCCGTACTCATACGCTGACAGGATGGATCCTGTCTGCGTCCGAGCCGGGACACCCGCACCCGTACGGACCTGCACTTGGGGTGAGCGTACGGCCGCGAACTCCCATAGATAAGGACAGGGGCTGTGTACTAATCACACGCAGCACCTGTCCTTCCCGGGAGCTGCCCGATATGGCCGTGCACACAGCATGGAGCTGTACGTGCCGGCCGTTTCTCGTGTGAATGAGGCCTTAGGCTCCATTCACACTGGAACAACTGTCCGGCTGTACAGATACGCGTGGAGCTGCTCCAAACAGGAAAAAACCAATACACAATTCTATGTGCATTGTTCATACTATTGGGGAGACCGTGCGGTACGAAAATGGTGCAGGCGTGTCAGTCCGGCGGATTCCGCACGTTCGCCACTATATAATGGCCGCAAACGTGCGGAATACATGCAGTTGTTTCACATAGATAGCGTTTGCGTCCCATGCGGTCTTCCACATGGAAAACCGCGCAGGAAACACAACCTCTATATGCGAATGGAGCCTAATTGTAGCCAAACAGCGATCGAAGAACAGAATGACATAATGACAACCAGATTTAGCGCATTGTGGCGCTATTCATTTTCAATGGCACACTGCGCACTAAAAGAGTGCACCTGTATTGTGCCGTAACACATGGTAACAAACTACTGCGTATTGAGGTGCACTGCATCAGAAAAAATGGTGCATGTCTGTGAATAGACCCTTAGGGCTTGTTCACACCAATTGCGGTGCGTTCCAGAGCGGTAGCTGCGGGAACGCACCGCAATCGCTCACAAAACTTCCCCCTGCGTTCTGGGGTGGAACGGGGCCTAGAAGTGGTGCCATTGACTTCAATGCAGAAACGGTATTCCCTGATGCGTGGTTAAACATTGCCTGTGTTCCATTCCACTGCAAACGCAAAAAATAGAGCAAGCAGCATTTTTTGCAATTGCAGTGGAACGGAACGCAGGCAATGTTTAACCACGCGTCCAATTGCACTGTGGAAGTGGTGCCATTGACTTCAATGCAGAAACGGTATTCCCTGATGGCAGTGGTCTCTTTCAGCAGGATAATGCACCCTGCCACACTGCAAAAATAGTTGAAGAATGCTTTGAGGAACCCAACAAGGAGTTTGAGG